CTCTACTTTTCTTTTCAATATCTAGAACTAATTAGGACCTGAATTATTCTGCTAAAGTATACAAGAATCTTAGAACATGTTGCTTACATGTTCTTTACTCCCAACACACCATGTCTCATGCCAAAATCACCTGAGTTATTCATTGTAAATAGATATTGACTTGTTCAATCAATATTTTCCCATATTTTACTGTTTTGTTTTATTTTGTGCTTTTGCTACTATATTCCCTTTCTTATCTCATATCTGCTTCTATTTGTTGTCCTGAAGAAACAGCTTCCAGTAATTCTTTTAGAGTTTCAAGTGGAATAATGTTTTAGAGACTGTATTAGTTTCCTATTGCTTCTGTAACAAATCACCACAAATTTCATGGCTTAAAACAGCAGAAATGTATTTCCTCATAGGTGTAGAGGCCAGAAGTCTAAATGAGTCTCCAGAGATGCCTTCCTCCTGCAGGCTCCAGGGAGAATCAATTTACTTGACTCTCCAGCTTACATAGGCACCTCCATCCCTGGCCTCAGGGCTCCCTTGCTTCTTCTCAAAGCCAGCAGGGTAGCATCTTCAACTCTGTTCTCTCAGCCCCTTTGTTTCTGTGGACACATAGGCTTCTGTCTCTTCTGACCTTGCCTCCCTCTTACAGGACACTCCTGATCACATTGAAGGCATCCCTTGATAATGCACAATAATCTCCCCAGCTGAAGACTTTTAATTTGATTACATATGCAGAGCCTTTCTTTTTTTCCATATAAAGTAACATTTACAGGTTCTGATGTTTAGAACACGGATGTCTTTGAAAGGCCACATAATTCAGTCTGCCACCATGCCCTTGGCCAAAAGAACATGTCTTTCTCGTAATCTTTTATTTGAACGAGAGTTCAGCTGGATGTACAGCTCAACATCCAAAAGTCTTTTTTTATTCTTTCAGAATTGTGTAACTATTTTATGTTAATATCTTCTTTTAGGTTGCCAGTGTGATAGGTGGAGTCATTCCAGTGAGTAATTAGATTTTGTTGTTGCTGTGATTATCTTCGGTCCACCATAGCTTCACATTCCTCTAGTGGTGGGTTGCAGTTGCTTGTGCTCCAGGTAGGAGCTGAGGTGCTGGAAGATTTTGCTCAGTGTAGTACCCCACCCTCAGCTTGAGTCCCCACTCACCTCCATCACAGGGAGGGTCTCCTCCCACCTCTCGCCTCTCCCTCATTGCTAGATTGCTGTCACTTGTTACTCCCACCTGTTATACTCATGGTGAAGGGTGAGAGGGTATAAAGAAGATTCTTTACCATTCTAGACCAGTCTCAGCTGAGAAACAGCCTGTGCCCCTGGCCTCAGGGCTGGGATTTTCTTAGTCTTTTGCACTTTCCTTCTTGTGACAGCCAAACTCAGCCTCGTATCTGCATCCGGTCTTGAGCAGGACCTCTATTTAGTATAGGCATAGGATGTCAGGCCCAAGATGAATTCCTGCCTCTCTCCCCTGTGTAAAGAAATTTTCTTTCACTTTTCCTTCAGTGATAGTAGTGATATATATCTGCACAGGCCCTGGAAATGGCAGGCTTTGCTACCCCCCTGCCAGGGGTTTAAGGCTTTTGCTTCATAAATGAGAAGGTTGAAGGAAGGAGCAGGGCTTTGCAGGCCCCCACCCCAATATTTACCCACCCCATCCCCTACAAACCCTCACTTATATGACAGACAACCAATGTCTCTTCCTCGTGGGAAAGACACAAAAGGTGACACAGTTTCTATCAGACTTGAAAGCAGAAATCTCTAAGGACCTTTCATAGAGAAAATCTACTCAAAATGTAGAATGCTATTTTCATAATACCTTCATTTCATCCAACGAGTCACAACCTTAGTTATCTATTGAATACAATCTAAATTGGAATCAGATGAATTTCATTTGGAGGGCTATTTTTATTTCCTAGTGTAGCACTTGATGCCCTATAATTGGATTGCTACATTTATATTGTCTAATAGTGTGAGCAAAGCAAATAACTTTCCCTAGATTTAAACAGCCCATAAATGATATATTCTCACATAAAATTGTTCCAGCTACATACACACAGTTATTAGCTTTGCTTTTTAAAGCTAATTTGTTGTTTACTTGCTTCATAATTTCTATAATGTGGATATATGCACCCTGGATAAGTTATGTTGAACAAAAAATACTTTGAAATAGCATGGCAAATTCCTGTATAAAATAAGGTGCATTTAATTTTAGAATGTAACACAAGTTACTAATTTTCTAATTATTATTATTATATAAAAAATTAGCAATGGTAAGTGCAAAGAGGTCAGTTATAGTTGAGCAGGTATTCATTGAACACTTCTGGTTGGATTTGCTAATATAATACACACTGTACTAGCTCTGAAAAATACTTTTGGAAAGCATTTCCATTACATTATTAGAATCAAAGTAGTTTAGACACTTAATAAAGCCTTAAATTATATGTGTGATTTCTGGCCTTGATGTGTGACCTTGAGCAAGTCTCTAAACCCATTTGGACCTGTGGTTCCCCATGTCCCCACATGTAAAACACAAGGGCTAAATTAAATCATCTTTTAAGATTCCTTCCAGTACTAATGACTTGGGGTAAATAAAGCCAATGAAATAAAAGATCAGTGTACTACTTTGAGGAGCCTCCTTTTCTCTTCTATAAACTAGGGTGGCTAAATTTCATCAAAGATCTTTGCTCTTCTCCAGAAATTCCATGATTTTATATACTTCCTGTTACATGTGTCTATTTTTTTCTCAGATTACAGGTTTCCTCTAAGGAATGTGATTTTGAATACTCTAACAGAAGGAATTATTGGAGAGCATTTACACTCTAGGCCTGAGGGAGCGTGAAAAAATATTGCTTGATTCCTTTCCTACTCTTCCTTCCCTCTCCAAAGTCCTGAACTCCCATTTCTGAGCTCCATCCAAGTGAAGTGAGATAATAGGAAGCAGCAATTTCATTGCCACCTTGATGTTCCAACAAAGTGGCTGGGACAGAGAACCCTCCTTATACTCCCGAAGTCCCCATGGGCTTTACTATAAATAAATAATGGCAATGATTATAGATTTCAAAGCAGATCCAAGGAACACAAAATACACAGCTTTCAAATTATTTCAAGAATGAGCTCTGAGTGAATGGACTTTGCGGCTGAATAATGGGCTAGTCATGGAAACTTAAGGAGAAGGACATACTTGGGCTTTGATCTGAAGCTTGAAGCACTGAGAGGTACAGAATTGTCTAAATGAATTTTTTGAACACAGCCTTGAAAGATGTGAGATGGGATCTAAGAGGATGGCCACCTACACGTGGCACACATTGGGTGGTCTAGGTGTAGGTGGCCTAGACCTATTGGATGGTCTTTTCTAAATAGCTCTTTAAGCCTTCTGAAAATTATGTAAGTAATTGCATTATCTGAGTTTCTATTTTCTCATGTTGTTAAAGCCTTAAAAATATTTTGCTAGATCTATTTATAGTGTATTAACCCTTGTCTGCCACATACTTTGTGAATATAATCCCAGTTTATTTTTTGCCTTTAAGTGTTGTAATATTTTTGACTACCAGAATTATAATTTTCTCTATTAATATTTATGAGCACTTTCTATTTTGGTCTATGACTTTGGGGCTATTTTTAGAAAATCTTTCCCACTTCTCTAAAATTATATAGGTATTAACTTTGTTATCTCCTAATGCACTTATAATTTTTATATATTTAAATACTCAAACTATTTCATATTAATTTTGGTGTATGATGTTAGGGAAGGTTAACAAGTTATTCTAATTCCATTTATAAAATAAATAATCCTGATACTTTCTCCATTAATTTGAAAAGTCATCCAAATTGTATACCAAATTCTTACATATCCTGTGTTCTCTGGTCTGTCTTGCTGTACCACTGCCTGCTTGATAATCATTTTGTTCCCTTATAGGGAAAGTTTCCATACAACAACTGCCCTTACTCATTATTTTTTAGCAAATGTTCTTGCTGCTTTTTACATTCATATTATCTCAGATAACCCTTAAAATATTTTGATATGCATTTTTTAAACATGTATCCAGTCATGAAATATTAAGTTGAAACTAGTTATATTATTAGTTCTGACTTAAGATAGCAAAATTTTTGTTAAAAATCAAATGAAAACAAGTTTTCTTTGGAAATCAAAGTTTTCTTTGCAAACATGAAGCCCTTTAGTGAACTTATTACTTATTAAAAATGTATTACTTTATGTATATGATTTAGCTCAAGTTAGAGGTATGTGCAAATTTTCCAAATGGCCCTAAATGTTTCTATCCAAATTAAACTATTTACCATTTAATGATAACCAAAATGTCTAATAGTTTGACATTGGTAGATGATTTGATGTGGCTGCTTTTGCAAAACAATGATGTCACCACTGTTTCCATTTACAAGAAAATACATGCCATCAATTGTTTCATCCCCTTGAGATCTTTTGGCCTAGCCACAAGGACAGTCTTTCTGGGAGAATGAGGAGGTAGCCATTGCACCAGTTTGAGAGGTACAAAGAATGTCTCTAAAGAGAAACACCTCCCTATCTGTTGTCCTATCTTTTTATTTTTGCTAGATTCTTCCTGCAGGATAACCTCTTGAGTTCTCTTACTTAGTATGTATGAATAACTGTATTACACCACTTTTCTCCCCGAGAAGGGATAAAAAATATAGGAAGGAATAAGAAAACATTGAAAGGAAATAGGAGGAACAAAACTCTAAATTTGTTTACTTCACAGTTTTGCATGAATTTAAAACTGATTTGAGTTTTGCTTAAATCCCATAGTTACCTCCATCAACCTTGCAAAAAATAAATTTTCATTAGAGTTTAAATTTGTACCCTTTACTATTATTCTATAGTAAATGTTTTTATTTTCAGCTTTTGATGAGAATTTTACATTTTCTAGCTTCCCTGAAGCAGTGTTAAGAGCAAACTAATATAAGCTAAAATCTAGGGGTTCTTCTGTCTTTGAATATGGAATAATTGTTTTTATTTTCCTTTGCAGTTTCTTCTTTGTGGCATTTGTGGAATATTGTGCGCCAAAAAAAAATCAGGACTTGTCGTAAGTTTTTCCCTCGTTTGCATTGTGCATTGACGTGTTTGAAATGTAAAACTTCAAAAACAGAGATGATGAGTAGCCAACTTTCATATACTGAATGCTACCAACTTAAGATAAAAAGGAGACTGACACATCCTGGAGACTGATAAATCCTGGCTTTCTTCTTTTCAATAAAACCATCAAGATTATTAGAGACTATGACAAAACATTACCAACAAAAAAAAAAAAAGCTTTGATAAAATCTTGAAATGCATGAATATGCAAGCTTTAATAACTGCTGTGGATGGCAGTCTCCAGTTTTCCAGTTTAGAGACTCCCAGACAATTACCTGAATTCTTCAGTGAGCTAAAAATGATAAAGTTTGAGTTTATGAGGAATTTAACTGTTTAAATATGGAGCTGGGCCTAAGGATTATTGGATTTCTTTGACTGTGCAGCTAATTTTACAAAGCAGCAAGACAGCTGTGTTGCTATGGTTACAGTTAATTCTCAAAGATGTATCTTATTTTATTATATTACTGTGGATGCACATGTGTTTTCAGATGTTTTTTGTGGTAGTGCTGTGTGTCACTGGGGTGGGGAACACACTCCCAGTTAACTCTGATATTGGCTGGAGGAGAACCGCTACACGCTGCAGTGCTATTCCTCACTGCCTTCCTTGACATTTTATGAGTTTAGAAAGAAGGAAAAAGCATAGTTTATTTTATTGAGTACAATAGGAAAGATCATAGACCTTCACAAATTAGCAAAATGAATACTACACAAGGAACCTATGAAGCGACCTTTGAGCATAGTTTTCCAAGGGCGGGTCAGTAATCTGAGCAAGGCGGGAAATGGAGAGTATTGTAATTGTTTTCATTTAACCTGTTTTTCTAATCGCATCTTTCTTTGTGAGAATATCTATTGCAACAGAAAGGATGAAGCTCTCATTGCTTTAGTTATGTGAGATGTGATTTTTAAAAATTACATAAGGGACATAGGAAACTTTTGGGAGGAAAATGTTTTCTTAGATGCTTGTAATTTGTATCTATGATTCGCCATTATTCTTTAGACATGGCCTTCCTTGTTCCTTTATCAAGAGTCTTTATGGCTATGTAGGAACAAATCCTTGGGAGAAGAAAGTGAAGGAGAGGAGAGGAGAGGAAAGGAAAGGAGAAGAGAGGAGGAAAGGAAAGGAGTGAAGGAAGGGAAGGAGGGAAGGAAGGAAGGAAGGAAGGAAGGAAGGAAGGAAGGAAGGAAGGAAGGAAGGAAGGAAGGAAGGAAGGAAGGGTTTTTTTTTTTTTTTTTAAGATGATAGTGTTACTTTTCTGTCTCTCTAATTCTCTTATAAGTAATGAAAGAAAAAAATTCTAAGATCTAAACTTTTTAGAAACTACCATCCAGGTGAAAATGTACATACTATCAGAAGTTACATTATCCTTTGGTACTTTCTGAGGTTTCCATGATGGCATTTACCTCTCAAGAGTCTCTACCTTCCAATTAAATTTTGTAAAAATTTCTCCATTCCAAATATCTCTCCAGTATAGAACTAACAGCCTGATGAGATTTGAAAATAGTATGTGGTTATAAACTTGGATACAGATTTTAATATTTTAATTTCTAAGTGAGAATGTTCTGTCAACACATGTTAATGAAGTATCATGCCTTTAAGGAATTGATGAGAATAACATCAGAAAAAATATGGGATTTCCTGTGATAGAAAATGAAATGTTTCATCTACTTTCTTAATCAACAGTAATTTATTAGGTGAAGGCTAGAAGGTAATATCTTTCTATATTTTCTGAGAATGAGTAAACACCAAAATATACCCCCAAGAAACTGCATGCCATATGAATATAATTCAAAGTGGAATATAACTGGTTGATTCTACTTTAAATTGTGAGCCACAAGCTCCCACTTGACAGGAGGACTTCATTATTTGGTAATTGATTTTTTATATTATATTTAATCAAGTATGAAAAAATTTTATTCATTTATCATTGGATTTTCAGCCCTGATAATAATTACTAGGAGACAGACACAATAAGGAATGCCAAGTTAACTTGCAGAAATGAAACCAACTATTTGTAGTTCTTATTGCCCACCATGCTTTTCACTGTGCTATTTCATACATCCATGGCCAAGCGCTCTGCTGGGAAACTGCACTTAGCTGAGATGACATGTTCTCAAGGAAGACTTGTCTAAAAACCCTGTTTGGGCTCAATGCCCCTCTTCTCTGCTCCAAGGGCAACCCATTCATCCATCTTTTTTAATATTTGCTGTGCCATGTTGAGATATTGGATTTTCTCTTTCATAAGATTTCAGCACACACAAGAGGAATAATTATGAGTTTTCTTTGTAATGCCAGCAGCTGCCTTGCTCAGGACCTAATAGATGCTGGGTGTTCAACAAGTGCTTACTAAACTCAACTGTTATCAAAAAGCAATATCTGATAAAGTAAAATTAAATACTAAAGTTAGTAATAAAGCTGTTTCCTTGGATAATTGTAGCAAAGAAGGAGATCAATAAAATCCAGGAATGCTTTCTGAGAAATTTTGGACTTGATTAGTCCCTTTCCATATAGGAGTCCAAGGAAGAAGCAAAAGCAAATGAAAAATATCATTCAAGTGCAAATGAGCTATATTGATGGACAAGTTAGGTGACTAAAGACTCTGTGCCAGAGATAGAATGAAAATAGGTTGAACAATTAAGTTAGTATTAATGTCACATTAGAAATTATCATGAAAGCCATAGGAGAATTTAGAATGATGCAAAAAACAAAATAAAATTATTAAAGTTATTAGAGTAGTCAATGGAGTTTATGAAATACAGAATATTTACTACATGGAAGGCATTGTGCTTGGTTCTGCCAGGAATCCTATGATATTTAAGTTGACTGAAACTCCCCACCTCTATTAATAGAGTCCCAGATCAAACCAATAATAGGATCCTACATGCATCCTACATGTCTCCAAAACAAACATCAAAGAGTTATTTTGGAACACCTACTGCATATTCTTCATTGTGGTATCACAGAATAACAAAAGATTTATGAGATACACGGCCAGTTCACAGGGAGTCCCTAAACTACTTGTCGGGGAAAGCAATACACACACAATAAAAAAAAAAAAAAAAGGATTTAACTAAATTCCCTCAGCTCAGATTTGAAGTTAGGTGGAACTTATAACAATTTAATGAGAAGATATTTAGATACTTTGAGAGGACCGACCCAATGAAACTACATTTAGAGTCAGAAAATCTGGGTTCAGTCCCTAATTTGAGTTTAAGCTAATCACCATGCACTTTTCCAAAATGTATATAACTAACTCTCTCAGAGAATCGCTGGGAGGATTAATTGAGATGATATCTGTTAAAATTACTAGCGTAGTAGACACAGTAGATATTGAATATTATTTAAATCTGAATCTACCTAGAAGATAAATTTTGTTTCAGAGTTTTCACAAGACATATCCTTGGCTTTAATATAGTCAGCTATCAATTTCTGAAACATTATAGTCTAACCCTCTCCGGTGAGTCAGATTGCATAGAAACTTCGCTGACAGGATAACTCTTGTTCTCTGTGAAACACCAAAAGCACCTATTCTCTATTGTAGGTTAGCCATCCTTGACAGGAATGGGTACTGTGTTCTGGTCCGCTTTGCCTCCCCAACTTTAACGCTCCCTTTCTCTTTCTTATCAGATGATCCTCTTTTCAGCATGCTGTATCTGTGGACTCATTGGCGGCATCCTGAATTTTCAGTTCCTCCGGGCAGTCACAAAGAAGACTTCTTCCCTGTATCCCCTGCACCTCGCCTCCATGTCTCTTGCTTGCATTGGGATCGGGGGCTGCACTCTCTCTTCCTGGCTCACTTGTCGACTTGCCAGCTATGAACAGAGGAGGATGTTCTCAGAAAGGGAGCATTCCCTGCATCACTCTCATGAAATGGCCGAGAAAGTGAGTTGTTTTCTTTTCCTCTCACTGCTATCACGCGGTGAAGACTGCAGTCCACTCTAGCTGAATCAACTTGCAACTTTACATGACAATTTGAAGAATCAGATTTTATAAGTTTGGCCGTATTGCATTGGAAACTTTTTATTATTTTCCCTATAATTCATGGGTACACCTATTTTTCAACACAATTTTGTAGCCAGTCTATTCAAAAACACAGTTCCTAAAACAGCATTTCATAAAATATTGAATACCTTATAAATATGGATTTTTATGTATTATACTGAGGAGAAACACATAAACTAAATACACTCTCTGCTCAATAATGCCAGTTTTAGAAATTGCATGAATTCCCTTTTCTAGCTCATCCCTTGTGCTTGTAAGTAGATGCATTTGATTATGTAAATTAGACTTTAAGCATAAAGGCGCTTTTTAATAGGGAGACAAAAAGCCTTGTCTATCAGTGCAGATATTACAATCCATGTAAAGCTTCATTTAACTCTGATCTAAACTGTAAGCATATTTGGATAGCTTTGCCTTTTTTTTAAACAATGGTTCTTGCATAATTGTTTCATGAAACCCATACAAACAGGAAGTTACATTAATTGCATAAAAGGACAAATAAATGGTATAGTGAAATGTCTGTGTTGCTACTACATTTTGCACATATTTTTAATATAGTTCCTGCTACTGGATCTATTTTAAAACGAGAAAAGTATCTGTAAAATAAACTCAGATATGATGACTACATCATATTTTGCTTTATACCATGAAAATAAAATTGCATAATCACAGAGTAGAAGAATAGTAAGACTCACTGCAACTTTTCTTCATAATGTTATTTTGAAGGAAAAAAAATTATTTATTCTGCAAGTTTATGTTTTCATCTTGTGTACAGTCTGTATACATTCAGATAAGGAGAGGAGCTGCTCATACATTATCCCCAAAGACCAATTTTAAACAGATCTGTGCATGTCCTTCAACAAAGAATTAGGAGTATAAAGGGCAGGACTTGTCATTTAAAGATAGGTTGTTAAAAATAGATGATCATTATGTATTTGAATAGTGGCTCTCTCGTGCTTTTATACTAGTGTGAATTAGTTTTTTGTGTATATGCTTGTGCAATATTTATTGTATGATTGTTATATTTATATTAGAGATTGAGGGCTATTGAAATAACCGACTTGCCCAGCTGCCCGGTGGTGCCCCCGACACCAGAGTTACCTACAAGGTACGCTGATTTCTAGGGAGTTACCATGTTGTAATGTCGCTGCAGAAAGCACTACCTCTTCTCGGAAGCCATGACGCCGACAGATCAGTCTGGACTGATGCTGTAATGTTGTTCCTCAAAGTATCACTTTCGTAAGAGCTACTTTGAAGAACTGACATAAAACTTCATGGCAGAGTCTTGCAGCTTGAAAGTTGGTTGAGTATTTACAATATTCAGCCTGCCTATAAACATCCAAACACATTTCTGCTTGGATGATTCATGACTCCTTTTATTCTCTGCTACATCATGATTTTGACTCAATATCATCATTCACGGACCAGAGTTTTGCTTTTAATAATAGATAGGTCTGGATAAAGACAAACTGTGTATCTCCCTCATGCCCACATTGCATGAGCAGATAGCCAAAGTTTGACACTAATACAGTAAAAATTTTGTATGGAAAATTACTTCATGTAAAATTATCTGATGTGATATATTTACAATTTATTTCTTACATTTCAAATTGCTGAATATAAATACTAATAGGTTCTTGCTTTGGTTAAACAGACTAATTGGAACTACAGAAAGTCATATAAATAGTATGGCCCATTTGCAGAATGTATGTCCATTTGCAAATAGCCACATTCACTTCTGCCCAAACTAAAAGTACAATCTTCTTATTAAATTAAGCACGCCTGTTTGCAAATAAACTGAAAAAGCATACCTCTTTGAAAACTAATTTTCACCATTATTTCCTATCAGCGATTTTACTGTGTCCATGCTAAAGTAAATACAGCTAAGAAAACTATTTTATTTTTGTAAAATTTTTTAAATTGCTTTTTTGTAAATCCTGCAATAAAAGGTCAATATATTGGATTAGATTTTTTAATGATTTTTTAGCAGTTTTAAATGGAAAGTAATTGCAGGAGAAGAAAAGGCACCTCAGATTCTTATTTCTATAAATTCTTTAGGAAATTGTTTTTTTCTTGTAGCAGGAGAAATAGGAAAAGACATAGGAGTACATTTTGTTGAAGGTCATTTTGGAGGGATTATTTCTATTTATTTTGCCAGCAGTGGTGAATTCTTGATTGAAGCCTCAAATCAGATTTCTTAACTATAAACTTAATTCCAGCCCAATAATTCTAATATATTTTCAGATTTTAAATAAGTACATCTCTGGCAGACTTTCATCATGTAAATCTCTAACAGATTCTCCAAGCAGAAACTAGATAGAAATAGGAAAGAGATCATTGAGACAATAATTTCCATTTGAAATGTTCTTTACTGCTCTTTTGCAAATAGGCTTGTTCAAGCATGGAAAGATTCTGTCAATCTATTTTTAAATAATTTTACCAACATATTATTTATAATATGGTGCACAAACCATTATAAATGTGAATGGGCCTCACATCTCATCACTTTTTATTGTGTTGGGAAAGGTTTAATATTTAATAAAACTTATGCATTCAAAGCATCAAAATTTTTCTTAAATTAATATATTTTCTATAACTCCATATGAAACTTTTTATGTTGGTTTATCTTTTATATCTATATTTTAATTGCTTTCCCATGTAGTTTTTCTTTTTAACTTTTTAGTAATTGATTCTTTAAAAACATGTTAAGAGACTTCATGTTTGTTTTTTACTGTATGAGTGATAGTGTCATGAAAACAATCTTTCCTGATATGATTTTAGTGATTTATCATTAAAAATGATCAATGATCCTCTTGTGGGCCTTTTCTTAGCAAAAAGGCCACACATTTCTCTATAAAATAAAGATAACCCCTAGAATGTATGGGCACTTTGTTGATATGTTCAGCAGAGGAGCTTATGCATTGGAAAACCTTGGGCTTTTAGCCATCTTCTTTTTTCTAGGTAAGGTCCTTCTAAAATAGAATTGAGGAAAGAAAGAGGAAACTCAGGGAAATGGGCAGAGAATGAACTATTTTTGTGCATAGAAGACTTTGGTCTAATAGACTGTCACTTCGGCATTTTCATGTGCTCCAAGATGCCATGAAATTTCATTTCCTCAAATGCAACAACAATATCAATCCTTGTCCCTCCCCAAAACTCAGCAAGATTTTCAATGGCTTGAAATTTCTGTTTTGCAAACCCATTAACCAACTCAATGTCTTACTTTGAAAGTGAAATTTAATTAATTCATGTTATTTTCCTAACAGGAAATGACAGACAATATGAGCAATGGAGGACCACAACTGATATTTAATGGAAGAGTATAATCAATGTTTTAAAGAATTGAACATTTTTTAGGATTTTCATGAGTCAAGGAGATACCAAAGGACTAAGAGATAAAATTCAAACAGTTCTTGCATTTGCTTTTACCTTTCCTGAGCATCCACCAAAATTATTCTTCCTCAATTTTGCCTCCCTTATTTCTCCAACCTTTTTCATGGTGTAAAAAACTTTCCGGAAATGTTCTAGTACAGTAATTTCAAGAGACTTTCCAGATTGTTCTAAGAAGACTTTTCAGGAAAAAGTAATAAATAAAATATAAATAAGATTCATATTCTACACAAACACTATTTGACTAGCATGAGTATTAGATTTGTAATGACATATTTCATATGAGTAATTGAAAAGTGCAAATATCAAGAAATAACAATAACTTATTAATGTCTTTGTTTTGAAAGACAGATGGCTTCAAGAATGCCACAATTCAAAAACCTCAGTAATGCCTTGTTATAAAAACATTGTAATTATTTTCAACTTGTGAATGAACTATATTTCATAATTTATTTGTAAACCTAAACACAAAAAGTGATTTTTTAGAGAGAGAGGATACTAATCAGTATGATATTTTTGCATTTTTGCACAAGAGTGAAAAGTTGTAACTGAATATCATTTAAGGAAAATAAACATGTTTTGATCATACTGTGTAGATTGATCTGCATGTTCATGAATGATCCTAAGAATAAAGTATGTGTGTGTGTAAAAATACTGTAAATATAGAAAATGTATACAGCATATATTTATAGCATACATGAATGTAAATAAGTAGTAGAAAAGAAATTGTGATGTTGTGGGGGTATTATCAAGATGGGATTCCAACAGGGATGAGAAGGCAATTGCTAAAGTGTTTTCTATGCCCACAAATTCACATATTTAATTTCTACTAAATTTGTCAATTTTTCTTCTTTTTTGTTAGGTCTGTTTTGTTTAAATATCATTGTGGCTGATATTTATGGAGTTGAGTGATCTGAATACTGTGGAATAAAGATAGATTACTTAATTATTTGGAAATTTTATTATGATTATAGTATTAATGTAATAGCAATTATTAAGATTCATTTATAAACATGACTTTAAACTACATACTTTCATATTTATAAATAAAGACACTATGACTTATGATTATTCATTATATTGATGTTCTAAACACCTTGCAGCCCAATTAAATGATGCAAAGGCAGATGATTTATCCCCCAAAAATGAAGTTATAATTACTTTTATTATATATTAATATATTATTTGCTATAATTTAGGTGTTCTGTTTTGTTTTACAACTCACATTAAATAATATAAGACAGTCCATATATAAGAAAGCATATATCCAAAGAACCTGAGAGAGTTCTCTGTAGAAGGAAATGAAAAGATAGGCTTACATTTATATAGCTAGATTCAATCCTTTCCTTCCATAATCTGATGTTAAAATAGCAACCAATGACAATACATATAAACAGGAAAACAGCATAGCCTTTGAAAATATTTATGATAATATAACCTCTGATAACAGATGAAGAAATCTAATATTTTTTAAAAGCATAACTCTCACTGTATTATATACTTTTATTTTCCCCCAAAGCTAATCAATTTTCAAGTCATTTTTATCAGTTACTTACTGAACTATAGGTAAATTAAAATATTTAATATCCAGTATTAGAACATATTATAATTTATTTGAAAAAACCATGGCTTTCAATTGTGCTAACAAAATATTAATAACAATAATTGGAGTTAATACAAATTTGAAGGCCTTTTATTTTAAAGCAACATGATCATCATCATTTAACCTATTTAAATCAACTCGTTAAAAAATTCTGGGTGTATCTATTCAACAGAAATAACTTGCCATTGGTTGTTTGGTGTGGTTTTTTCAAGCACATTGTTCAAGTGCTTGAAAATTTAATTTCGACAATACATTGAACAGTGAACTGGAATTATTGGATACAAGAGTTCTTCACTAGGAATGCATTTCCCAAGCAATATATTGTTAAAAATTTAAGCTATATCTAAGGAAATCATTTTGATATTTTAACAGTTCAACATTATGGTTTTTGAAGTCTCCTAACTCATTTGGATAACTTCATTATCTAGTACATTATAGAAATTTTCCATAAATGCAACCTCAAATAGTGAAGTAATATCATAACTATTTATTTGATACCAAAAGCAGGCATGATCTTTGCCAATGAAAATCTAAACTATACAATGCAGATATTTTGTGTGTATATGGTTCTACTGAATTTATGCAAGAATGTAGTTTTGTACTGAAAGAATAACCATTGACTCTAATTTTTGGTGGCTATTCTCTGTAGACATGTTTGTACAATACATAATTTTAATAAATTAGTAAGATGTTTTGATGCCTTTTGAACTAATTTATGAAACCACACATAAAGAACAAAAGTAGACACATCACTGCTTTGACATAGAGTTAAAAAGAAATGCAATCCTCACAATTATTCAAGTAGTCCACAGTGTATGTTTATCCAAGTACAGATATATCTTTGAATGTAATTATTTCAACCCAATGTTTTCAAGGCTAAGTTTAGAATGATTTACTTAGGATGTGTTGTGATCCTTTTTGAGACAAGTGGGAGATGTTAGGAAGACATTGTTCAAGTGCTTGAAAATTTAATTTCGACAATACATTGAACAGTGAACTGGAATTTTTTAAGTGACTACATTATAGTTTTAGTATGAGCCTATCCTTGGGGAAAAGTAATGTGATATTAAACCATAAAAAATATGTGAACCTGGTGTGGTGTTATGATGCTTTAGAGAGTAGCTATAAAGAGGTGGAGTTGTTATGAGCATAGAAGAAGAAAAGTGGACTCACCGTGGAAATTTTAAAATATATATGTGTATGTGTGTATGTATGTGTGCTTGTATATATATATACACATACATATATATACACAAACACACCGGTTTAGAAGTAGACCATAGTACAATGACTCTGCCAATATATCTATGTAATAAAATGGTGTGCATTGTAACTACATATAGTGTCGGCTTTCTTTTCATTATAAGACAAAAATAGTTTACATCAATGGCTAGATGAATAAATGTGCTGTTCTGAGATTGGCAGGGGACAGGCTGCTATGAAGGAGAAGAAAAGAAACAGTCACAGCTAGAGGATATAGAATTAACAAAGAATATTATTGAAGATAAGAAAGACTAGAATATGTTCAAATGTAGAGAGAGAGTGGTTGAAGATACACAATGAAATAATCATAATAAGAAAGTGAAGTCCCTGCAGAGGCAGGAGGAAATAAGATACAGATCATAGGAGACAGAATTAACTACAAGTTGGGCTGAGATTGCAGGAGATCTCACAAATGAAACCACAATATTTAGAGAATGTGGATTGCCTACTTGAGTTTGTCAAATTGGTTGCTACTAGCAATTGGGGTGGACAATAACTCATCATGCAGACTGACCTGTGCATTTTACATATTCAGCATCTTAGGTCCCTACCCACTAAATGCCAGGAGGACAATCCAGTCATTCTAACAATCAAAAATGTTCTAAAAATGTTTTACTTATATCTTTGTTAGGGAAGTATTACCTAATTTAGAGCCATACAAACATGATCCAGAGCAGCCAATGCTACCCACAAGTGTTAGACCTGAATTACTCAAGGTCATAAACTCACTGTTCTAAAGTCTACCTATATGATTCAATATCATAGCTACTATCCATATGTGATTATTTAAGCTTAAACATAAATTAATGAGAACAAAATCAAATAATCAATTTCTCCATCAAACTAGCCACAATTGCAAGTGATGAATAGCTACATATGGACAACAGTTATAGAATATTTCCATCCTCTCAGAAAGCCCCATTGGACAGTGTTAGTCAAAAGCACATAAAAGGAAGCTGCCCACTTTTCCTCAGGTTTTGTATAAGTTCTTCCATAGTCAACCAATTATTATTAAAATAGAAAGTGTGAAAAGAGTCAGTAAACACTCCATGGAATTTGAAAGTTCATGGACCAGTTAAATCCATGGACTGAGCAAAACTATTAATAGCAAAAGTAGCAGACCAACTCAATGAAGTTGAGAACTGCTTTAGAGATTCCATATTAAAGAAAAATTCTGCTCACAGGAGGATTCCACTAAATTACTAAATATTGTATTCTAAACTGGCAAAATGGGATGTGTAACTCCTATATTTGGAGAAATTTATTCTACCTACTACCATGTGTCAATGACTAATCCTGCATTTCTTGTGCTTGGAAAGGTGAAAATAATAAATACACTGCCCCCCACTTTATCTTTTGACTAAATTCAAAAATGGCGTGTTTAAAAACCTTATGTTCAAAAGTACATTTTCAAAGATTATTTAGCAAACATGTTTCAGAAACGTAGAAAGAGCATCTTAAGTACCATTTGGTTGGAACACTGTTTCCAAATAAAGCTTCAAAACTTGGCATCACTTCATTCTTTTCTTCTGTAAGTAATTTTTTTTCTGGAAACATATGTAATATTTCTTACTCAAAGTGTATGACAGCCAAGAAATTCAATTATTCCAAATCCATAAATCACAGGTTGTCATTTACTCATAACAGAGGAAACCAATTCAGAAATTGCTGGGGATGTGGATGCCTAGTAAAATTATACAGAGGGACTGTTTTTTGTTGTTTTTTTTTAACTCCCTTTGCAAGGAAAACTATTTATTGGATACAAGAGTTCTTCACTAGGAATGCATTTCCCAAGCAATATATTGTTAAAAATTTAAGCTATATCTAAAGAAATCATTTTGATATTTTAACAGTTCAACATTATCTATATCAACTAATTAGAGTGAAAAGCGTCTCCTTCATTTTAGGCAGATTGTCTTCATTTAGCTGGAAATCTTGAAGTACTAGGAGTCATCTTTACTTTTCTTTGCATCAACTTCGGACTATTGATTTCAAAGTTTCTTCTTCATTAACACCCAAAGGCTTTACTTCTTTAGCCACACGATACATTGTAAACCTTTTCCCAAAGCCAAAATGTATTGTGTTACTGAAAATTGCCAACGAGACTCTATAACTTGACTGAAACTTCACAGAAAAATTTGAAGTTTTGTCAAAATTGCACCAAGTCTTGTATTAACTATAAGGAATCCGGACTCATGCCTACTCCTTGCTATTAACCAATCAGGATATTGGTACTCACCTAATCACAAAAACCGAGGTTCTCAAACATCATTCTATAACATCCAGAAGGAGGGCTAAAAGAAATCCCTTAGGCTTGCCAAGGTAACTGCCTAGGAAAGAAAAGCTACAGATTCCTTTGATGGTGGCTCTACCAGTCAACATTGCCCCTCACTCTTAGCTGTAAGTCAGCCCAGAGATGAGATAACATCCAACCTGGTAGATATAAAAGTACTCTAAGGCTCTGTTTAGATAGCTGTCTAGATGTTCACTGCTTCATTACTATCCAAAAAGTCTTTTGAGATCCAGTCTTCTCTCTTTCTCTCTTCTAAGTATATTAGTATTGTCACATCAACCTCTGAGAAAATAAAATAAAATGAAAATCTCAATATTCTCCTCAATAAAAAAAAATCCTGGAGAGAATCTCAAGTGTCCAAGTCACAAGATATTGAGTAGTAATGTTAGCCTATTACTATCCACTAGCAAAAAGGATGGTGAGGAAGCAGGTGAAAAGCAGCTCTTTATCAAGTATCATTTTCCAAATGCTATTATAATGTACATGACCTATTAATGTGACTATGCCTCTATTATATTAATATCATTTATTTAACATGAAATAACATGAAATAAGTAGGTAGACATCAATATTACACCTAAAAGGTAAGGTCATTTCTGGCCATAACCCTGAACCTTAAAACCATTCAACCAAATCATACAACACACACACACACACACACACACACACACATCCTTAAAAAATAACCACAACTCTATCCCATATGAACCACTGTCCTTTATTTGATCTGCTTCTGATTTCAGATTCAGATTTTTGGTTCTTTGATGCTGTCTTGATGTCAGTGTCTGGTCTCTGCCCTTGAACCCAAGACTTCATCTCTCTAGTTGTCAAGTTTTGATAGCTACCCTCACTTATTTCACTCTGGTCCTCAGGATTGCTTAATAAAACTCCCTACTCCTGAATCAGCCAGTGAAACCCAGCTTTCATCACTGAGCTAGCAGCAGCTAGTGACAGGAATGGCTTCAACAATGTTAGTCATCTCGACTAACATTGTGCCCAATCTGGAAATACAAATTTAAAGGAAGGATCTCAGACAACTGAAAGAAAACTTGAGCTCTATACACCTTGAATGTAAAGAAGTTGAAAAATCTAGGATGTCATTGGAGACAGGCAGAGAGCTGCCACTAAGAAACCACAACAAGACCATTTTTCCTGGACTTTATAGATATAGGCATTGGACCTGTAAGTTATAGAGAAAACTAATTTTGTCATGAATAAAATTCTTTTCTTATATGAAAGGTATGTTCATTTCTTACAGCCTCTGGGTTTTTTCCCCACTTTTAAAGCTTTAATTTAACCTATTCGGCTATACCAAAGACTATCAGAAGAGATTTTATTCAAGCTGGGCTTGAATATCAAGCTGGAGCTAATAACGTCAATATCACCCTAAGGCCAATATAATATAAAACAGCAGGAATCACACAAAAAAATGCCAAAGGCAAGTGAGACACAGAAAGATAGAGTTATTTTCATTTAGTCATTGACCCACCCCACTCAGAAATTACACCTTTCAATGCAAATCTTGGAATTCCAGACATTTTACTAACAAATGTGCCCTTTAAGTAATGTCATTTCTTGTAAATTTTTGCAGGGTATTTTCTCAGGACTGGGTAGGTCCACTTTGCCACTAGACAAAGATAAAAATACTACTGTAATAACTTCCAAAGTACAAATATATTAAGAGTACTCTGTGGCCATCAATGGGGGGCTAGAATATGGAATACCAATAAGAATTCTGTTTGGTCACTTCTCAATAAATTGTATACTAAAAAGCACTGCTTCTAAATTTCATTTTTATCAATTGTCACCCTTAAATTCTCCATACCCCATTCTTTGTAAACATTTAATGTCATGGATCTTTGTGTTCACAAATACGCAGACTCTGCCAGCAGGCAGTTTATTAAACTATAGCTTTAAAGTAATCTTCAAAAAATAAAAAAGGAAATGGTTTTCTATTTTTGTTCTGCACTGAGCTGAAGGCAGGTAAAAGTAAATAAGGCTTTCCACGGGCAACCGGGCAAGCATCACGGCTAATATTATGAGCCTGATTCCTTGGATTTGACAACCTTGAAAGAAGAGTGTAGAAATTCAGTTACAGAAAGCACTTATTGGAGAAGAAATAGGGCTTTAGAAGAAACACTGATCCTAGGTTTCATAAAAGGACAGTAAATTATATTAAAAAGCCATCTGATTTTCCTATAGTGGCCCTACCCTCATGAGATACTTCTTTACCCCACCCCAACCTCTAAGAGAAGCAATGCTCACAGCTACATGTGTGCACACTTGTGCACATACAAAAACACATACCTCAGATTATTTTATTGTTTAAGCCAATCCTTTTTAGCTAGGATATTTCATCCAAGGTATGACATAGTCGCCTTCCTAGACTTCTTAGTAACAATTGTTAGTTACCTAGAGATACTTGCAACCTCAGGTGAGTGCAGCTAAAAGATTGACATGACTTTATTTAAGTCCATATTTTAAAGTTTAATTTAAATCATATATTTGTGTGTGCATGTGTGTGTGTTATATAACATGCTCTGTTATTTTTCCTCATTCTTGGTAGGTACAGTGTACATCAATTAGTGTCAACAATATAACAAGCAAGTGGGAGAGTCAAAAATTGATCCTTAATCCTTTTTTGAAGAAGGGTTGTAAGTAAAAATAAGCTGTCTATAAATAATTGCCATTGATTTTTGCGATTTATATAGGCATTAGGCTAAAGAGAAACTTTATAAATTTAAGCTCGCGTTTGCCATCTGCTGACAAATTTATGAATTACAAGTGGTATGCATCAACCAATATTTATTTGGTGGATATACAGTATGTTCAGGTTTTTGTTTGCTTGTTTTTTGTGTCTTCATTTCCAAAGCCTATTAGGCAAATATTAAATATGAATTTTCTCTGAAATAACTATACTTAACAATTTATTGAATTATTAAAAGAAAACCATTTCCTAAGCTAATTATATTTATTTCAAACAACCAGTTTATAGTGAAGTTATTTTAATTCTTCCTACTGAGAAATTTCAAATTTATACTCACTACACATATTTAATATTTAAAGTGGATTTTATCAGTAAAATATTTTAAAGGGATGCTATATAAAATTCTTTAATTGTTATAAGCTGAATCAAATGTTCATGCCAAATATAGTAAGCTTATAATTACAGTACAGTGAGAAGGATCTGAAATTGGTCATAGTAATAACACCAAAACAAACAAAAAAGTCATTCCCAGAGAACTGGGGTCATAGCAACCACCAGTTTTTATTCATACTCTTATCAAAATCTTTCTCTTACATCCAGGGTTATACTTTGTTATTTATTGAAGCAGGGCATATGCTCCTGGTCTAAAGAAGCTTTCCAGCCCTAATCAGGTCGAATCAAGCATATTATATCAGAGCCATCGATCATGGACTCAAAAAAGATACATCATTGAATTCTTAATATAGGTAGTCGCTATGCTTAGGGTTGCACAGACATTATTTTGTTAGATCCTCACAACTTCACGTTATCATCATACCTGTACACCAAAGATTAGGAAGTTGAGTTTAAAACCACTAAGCAAGCTATCCAAGGTGATAGAGCCAGGATTGTACCCAGAAGACCTGACTCTAATATCTGGCTTCCACAAGCCATATCACTGGAACTATTTTCTGCACGACCACTGGCACTCATACTTTGGATAAAACTGGTGCTTGTGTGACACTTTCCCAGGTCTTTTTAAAGGGTAATATTTACCAGTTTGCTCTAATTCCCATCTTAGCATTTTAAAATGAGCCATCTGTTTTCCTGACTGTTAAAGTTTCTTTTATCGGTTTTTGTCATGTGTCTGGGAAAAGTGAGGGTCTTTAGAGATTCACAGAATCAGTTATAGGACAAGTCATGCCTGGATTAGATTCCTTGATTCATCAATAGCTATGTGTCCTTGGGAATGTCTTTCATCTATTCACTCAAGGGGTAGATGCTACCAGGCCCTTAGCATATGACTGCTAACAACACAGATACGATTGCCATCATGCGGCCAACTTTTTATTTTAATTGTCCGTAGTTTTCAGTCTCCTCCTCTGTAAATACATGTGACAATTGTAATAAAGTCATAAAGATTCTGTGATGGTGATTCGTATAAGGCACTAGCAGAGCACCTGGCAGGTTTGTAATAAAGCTCAGCCATTAGGATGGACATTGTGTCAGACAAGAGGTCATGTGTGCTTCCCTCTCTCTTGGAAACTGGCATAGCCGCAAGGAAAGCCAGCTCACTGTAGCCTGTTGGGAGATGACACGCATGGAGCCACATATGACCACAGGTACCCAACTGAGCCCAGCCCAAATTTTTACCCACAGAACTATGAGTTAAATTAATGATTTAATTTAAAGCTACTAAATTTGAGGATAATTTGTTACGAACCAAGAACCAACTGATACAATGGTCTTTTTACTTGCAATGTCCTTTATATGAAATTGTTGTATGTAAACTGTTACAAAGAGTTCAAATTCCCATCTGATTCCATTTCTTCATAAAATTCTACTCTAATAATTTTAGCGCTTTTTCTTATAAAAAAGAAAGAAACATGCCTAACTTTATACAACTAGTAAGTGGCAGAATTATGATTTGAACTCAAGCAATGTGACTTTAGCATCCAGGCAGGCTCCTCATTTTGCACTATCAAACCGTCTAAAACTAGAGGATTTTCTGTAACAACCAAAATCTTCTGATTAAATCTCAAATTGTTCTTTTTTTAATGTAAAATAATTAAAATAATACCAAAATTTGCACAAGTAAAAAATAGAGCATAAACTCACCCTCAAGAGAGAACTAATATTAACATATTGTACAGTCATACATTGCTCAACTATGGAGACATATTCAGAGAAATAGGCTACAAATCTGTACAGCATGTTACTCTACTGAATATTGTAAGAAATTGTAATACGATGTAAGTATTTCTATATCAAGTCATATTTAACATAGAAAAAGTATAGTAAAAATGCAGTATCATAATCTTATGGGGCCACCTTCATATATGTGGTCCATCACTGATCCAAATTTCATTAAGTAACACATGATTGTATTTGTACATCCAAACTTCTTTTCTAAGCATATAAGTATGCATGTGTCCTATAAAAATCAGAGCATATGGCACATGTTACTTTGTAACCACCATTAATTATTTTAGCAAACCACCAATTATTGCACATTTACATTGCTTCTGGGATAATCTAGTTGCAAGGAATGGAAGGACATTAACATAATAATAAGGTGCATGCATGTGTATGTTGGAAGTGGCAAGGTCAGTGATAAAATAATACAGATAGTTACAAGAAAACTTCTCTCTCTTTTCTCTAGGGCAATTGGTCATGGGATCAAAATCATATCTAACCTCTCTCCTCCTCGTAGAATGGGGATTTTCTCAGCATATACTTGTCTTTGGCTCAACAAGGCTTTTCATCAGACAGAAACCACCATTGCCTTGCTTTCTGTGGACCTTTGTTTGGCTTTTACTAAATTGGTTTTTGGACATTTTGTTTTCATTCGAATCACCTGCAGCCCATCTAGAACCATCTTGAATGCAAAGTGAAATCACCTGGAGAGATTTTGATTTAATTGGTTAGGGGTGTTGTCTGGGCACCAGTTTTTAAAGCTCTTTAGGTAATTTCAACATTTAGCCAAGTTTGGTAACACTGAACAAAGGGGTCCTGAACAGGAGTATTGCAGGACTTTTCAATAAAATCAAGGAAAAGGCCACTGCATTTTCTACTTATGGACTTAAAATGTCTATCACTGGAGCTTTGGGAGCAGTTTCATCCCATTATCATTTCATGTAAAATTTGCAGTCAGATAAGGAATACTAAATAAAATTATTTTTATTTATCTTATTTGAACCTCCTATTATCTTTCAAGGTTGGCAAGACAAGTATTACTATCCCTGTTTTACAAGTGAGAAAACAGGTTTAGAGAAGTTGGAGGCATTTTCAGTATCTAGAGGAGGCAGATAGAAGTGTGTTAGTGCTCACATCACTCCTTGCTTTATATTTCTTTGGACACTTGTCCAGCATAACTTGTGTTATGTGTTTATGTTTAGATCCCATTTCCAGTTAGGCTGTGACCTCTTTACCACTTGTCATTTCATTCAGTCATTTATTATCCAGTCATTCATTTAGGATGCTTGAATGGGTTTTTTTCATTTGTTTTGTTTTGGGGAAGGAGGTTGATTCATATGGGAGGTACAGTTGTGAACAAGACAGAGATCATGGTTTCATCCTTAGAGAGCTTGGAGTCTAGTGGTGGAACAGGCAAGCAAATAGGTAGTTAACATAAATTAACATAAAAAATCAACATAGAGGGAGAACTACCTAATCCTAATGGGGAAAGAGGGGTGGAAGTAAACAAAGGAAGAGAATCTAAGTTAAAACTTGACACAGGGGAATTTACTCATTTGAGAGAAGCTACCATATTCTCTGGTGGAAGGCAAAGCACAAGACTGGAGAGAGAAAGAAAGAGTGAGAGAGAGACCTGACAGTGGATCAGTGAGTATGACAATATTAGGGTGTGGAGGAGGATAAATTAAGCTGAAGAGAGAAGGTAGATCATAAAATGGCCTTGTAATTTAGGAGCCATATTAAGGATTTTGTATTACTCTAGGGAAAATGCTGTGTTTATGTAGGGCTTTAAGCAGGACACATCATGATCATATTTGTGTTTCAGAGAAGATCTGTCTGCCCCTAGAGTGTCCTTTTGACCATTAAGCTAGGCTTACACAAGCAGGAAAGAAATCCTGTAGTTTTGGCTGTGAGGATAGAGAAAAGTATCCAGATACAGTGATGTTTCCGCTTTGGACAACACAGGCCTTCGGACTGATTTGATTTGCTCTGGCGGTACAAGAGAGGCCGGAGGGTGACAGCTGGGCTGAGCCACTTGGGAAGCAGTGGTACGACACCCTCATTTAGCGCTTGCATAATGAGGAGAGAAGCGGATTGGAGAGAAACAGTGGGTTTATTTTCAGCATGTGCATTTGGGGCATCTGGGCTGCTTTTTACGATTGGGTTCACCGCATAAAATACACTCCATAAGAATTATTTGATTTATTATTGTACAATCCTAGCTTGAAAAATTCTACCAAACCACTTTACTACTGGAAATGATTAAAGTGGGAGCCTCCCCCAGCTACCTATTAAATCCAATGAGGACCTTTGTGAAAACACGTTTGCCCGCGCTTAAGACAAATTGATTGGCTTTCACGCATGCTCAATACGTACCACAAGCCCCGAGCTCCCCAGTCCTCGAAGCGCGAAAATGCGGTTTCCCCCTGCTGGTCAGACCTGCATAATGCAGCTCGAGGAGAGAAAATTCTTAGGGGCGTGGTAGCTGATGGGTGACGTAGAAATTCGGCGTCCAGGTAGAGGCGGTTACGTCAGTGGCGCGCGCCGTGGGAAACCTGACAAGCAGCATGGCTGCGGGTTGTTCAGAGGCGCTGCGGCCGAATACGGCCTCTGACGGGTCCCTGGTAGGATCGGCAGGCGTCCTGCCTTGCCTAGAGCTTCCTACCTATGCTGCTGCTTGTGCGCTGGTGAATAGTCGCTACTCCTGCCTGGTGGCCGGGCCACACCGAAGGCACATCGCTCTGTCGCCTCGCTACCTTAATAGGAAACGCACCGGCATCCGAGAGCAACTAGATGCGGAGCTCCTGCGCTATTCCGAGAGGTATGAAGGTCTTTTTAACTTTTTCTTCTCCAAGAAGGCAGTGACATAACGTGGCTTGCCCCCCCCTACTTTGGGGCGCTGGAAGAGGCAGTGGGTGGATGAGATGATGGCGCAGCAGGAAAAGGGTGAATGGTAAAGTTTGCACCGGCCCCCCGGGATTTTAGCCCTGGATTCTAGAGTCACGATCCGCCCCTCAAAGGCAGTACCGCACTGGTAGAGATCTGTACAGGGTCACTGGCATAAGCAGGGAAGAAAACTTAAAGGTGAAGTTCAAGTGTCGACGGAGAGAGTGGACAATCTCGCGCCAGTACCCTGTTATATGAGGAAGTATAGAACAGGGGTCTGCAGGCGTGGTAGGCCCAGTTGTGTTTGGCATCGAACGTTACATTTGGCCCCTTCCAGATAATGTTTTCTCATTGGTAATGAAAATTTGGTATGCAGTACTTCAGTACACTCTCTTTCATGCTATAGAAAATTGCACATGAAGCATTAGTACAACTGTTTAATCGTACAACATGAAGGGCAGTTTTTGTTGTTTTGGCCCTGGTAATTTCCCCAGATTCTCTTCTCTTGGTCATGATTGGGGATGAGGGAAATACCATTAGTTTTGTTTTATTTTGAAGATTTTATTTATTCGAACTGGTGAGTGTATTGCTCTTGGGAGAGAAAAAAAATCTTTTGGTGCTTTTAAATTAAGATATTCAAAAGTGACATGAAAACTCGTAATTCCGGGGTATAGAGAGATGTGCTTTAGTATTATTCGGGACTATTTTGGTTCAAAAGAAGAGCTCTAAAACTAGAGTGGATGGATTCCTTAAAGAGTAATGTTTGCCCTTCATAAATTCCATGAACCTTCAGAAGTTGTAGGAATTTCTTACGTGAGTATCCTTTAGGTACAGTATCCAAAGCTTTCACCACTTTTTCAGTGGAAACAGGACCACCACAAACATCGTAAGAATCAATCATGTCCAGAATATAGTTTCCTCCAAGCACCAACACACACTTGTTGTGTGTTTATATTATATACCAGGGACTTGAGATATAAAAACAAAAAAAAAAATTGTTTCAAGGAGCTTTAAGACAGTTAATCCAGTGGTGTGTTAAAATTCATATATACAGGTAGATTCAATAAAATTTAATAGATTAAGATTAAAAGCAGTGATAAAGTTGTACATGGGGACCTATAGGAGTAGAGGAATGATTTTAGCTTTGCCTAGGGGAGTCAGGGAGGTTTTCTCCAACAAGTAGTGGATGTGGTAGTGAAGCCACCAGGTCTTTCTCTTTAGTAGCTATAATTCCTTAAGAACTAGTAAGTAGCATTTTGAAAAATAGTTGCCCCCTAATCCTGACTCTGAAATCTGTAGACTAAAGTGTCAGAGTCAGGTCTTAATAAATGATGTAGTTGTATTTCTTAACATTTCCATTTACTAGCAACAGTTGCCATTTGGGATTTTTCTCTATTAAGTCATTGGCTTTCATATTCAGGGGCTTCCACTTTAACCCTAATGCTTCCCTTATTATATGCCTGCCATCAAGTACAGAATTTCAGTAATGGTGGATAATACCAAAACTGCCGGTGAGTCAGTCATATTCACAGAAATACACAAACATTTTCTTTGCCAACTCTTATTATTTCCCTTTCTAGCATGACTAGAATTCAAATAGGGAAGGGTCGATTTATTGCTTATGCATAAATTGGGCATTTCGTTTCTGAGTACCTGTCTTGAATAATCATTTTTAACTTAGCCAACATCCTGGAACCCTTTTGTGAAATGGAATTGCTAAATTTGTTTCAGACTAATCATATGCTATTGTGTTTTTGACATGGTGATAATATTTAGGAGATATATGCTTTTTGCATACTTCAAATATCTAATCACATTAGCATGATAATGGCCTAGTTTAAAAGAGAATAAAAGATACCATTATCTTCTTTCTTTTACAGTCTTTTAGGTGTCCCCATTGCATATGATAACATCAAGGTTGTGGGTGAACTGGGAGATATTTATGATGATCAAGGACATATTCATCTTAACATTGAAGCAGATTTTGTTATTTTCTGCCCTGAACCAGGGCAGAAGCTTATGGTATGTATGTCATTTTTTCTAGCTTTTTTTGTGTAATTATATAATCATGTCATTTTGAAAACTTTAAGAGATTATATATATTTTGAAGTAAATTGCTATTGTGTGTAAATAAAAATTACTTTAAAAGGTAAAAATATTAGTTTCTGTCCCTTCAACCTAGGTAAGTTTTTAAACTTCAGTCTCCTAAAACATATGCATGCACAAAACATATGTCCCATCTATTCTTTGTATTAGTACCACATTGATCTTAAGGGAAAATAATCAGTTATTGTTATTTTAAAATTTCTCAATTCCACACAAATACCTTTTCTTTATAAAGGATTGAAAGAGTATATAGCATTATGCAAAACAAGAGTCCGAATGGTTATGGAGCCAGGTAGATAATGAAAATGAATGAATGAGGATAGGGCAGCCAGTCTGTACCTAGGAAATGAAGGCCTTGTGTGGAAGGTCTTCCAGTTTTTCAGAACCTGATGCAGAAATTGCTATGAAATCTACTGAAACATATCCCTTAACCTCTTTACTTACCCTTCTCTTCCTCTGGCAGTTTTGTGTATGTGTACATATTTTCTTCATATGCGTATGTATATTCATGTGTATGTATATGGTTTTTTTTTCTCTAGGTAATAAAGAAAAACTTTAATAGATAAGAATCTAAAAACTTAATCTAATAGATAAGAATTTTTGATTAACCCTTAATACTGTTAATAAGAACGTAGATTATATTTCACTGTGACAAAATCAACAAGGCACTTCTAAGTTTTTTTTTTCAATACCAAACTAATGGAAATAGTATCTTTTACCTGCCAAACTGGGAACTGTAATCCAAACTATTAAAGTTGGCAGTAGATTTGTACTCTAGAATTGCAAAACTTAACTTCCATCTGCTTTGTGTAAATTATTATTGCAAATGTAAACATGTAGCTGGAAATAACATTCATTTTCACTGAGGGACATTTGGATTATTTCCAGTCCAGGGCTATTATAAATAAATCTGTTGCAAACATACATTTTTATTTCTTTTAAGTGAATAACTAGAAGTGGAAGTGCTAGGTCTCAGGGTACATGTGTGTGTTTAACTTTATGATAAACTATTGTCAGACTAATTTTCCATTCAACTCTTCCAGCTTCTGTGAATCCTTGCCAAAGTTTGGTATTGTTAGTCTTTTAATTTTACTGGTGGTCATACAGTGGTATCTCATGATTTTAATTTGTATATCTCTCATGAGCAGTTTTTTATGTGTTTCAATGAGAAGGGTCTGCTCAAGTACTTTGCCCATTTTTAATTGTATTTTTATTATTGAATTTTAGTTCCTTTTAGTATTGGTACAAATCCTTTTCAGATAAATGTATTGTGAATAGTGTCTCCCAGTCTGTGACTGGTCTATTAACTTTTAATGGTATCATTTGATGACCAAGTACTTTTAATTTTGATGAATTCCAATTTATCATTTTATACTTTTATGGCTGTTGCTTTGTATATCCTATCAGAGAAATTTATCTATACCCAGGTGGTAGAGATTTTCTTCTGTAAACTTCAAGAAGCTCTTAGTTTTAGCTTTTCCATTTAGGTCTGTGACAATTCTTAAATAATTTTTTGCATGTAGTTGCCTTTTGCATCGCAAGTAGGCCTTGAGATTCATTTGCATCTCTGTGTAGTTATCCAGTTGTTCCAGACTCATATATTCAAAAGACTTTTCTTTCATTGATTTTTTTAATTGATAGACTCCATTTTTATGGCAGTTTTAAGTTTACAGAAAAATTCAGTTAGAGGGTTCAGATTTCCCATGTATACCCCTCCAAACACACAATTTCCCCTATTACTGACATCATCTTGTGTTAGTATGGTGCATGTTTTACAGTTTTTGAGCCAATATCAATACATTGTTATTAAAGTCAATAGTTTACATTATAGTTTAGTCTTTGTGTTGTACATTCTACAAGTTTTGACAGATGTATAGTAGCATGTGTCCACCATTGTAGTATACTGCAGAGTAGTTTTACCCTCCTGAAGATCCCCTGCGCTCCACCTATTCATTTCTCTCTTCTTACCTCCCTGCTAATTCCTGGCAACCACTGCTTTTTTTTTTTTTTTTTTTTTTTTACTATTTCCATGGTTTTGGCTTTTCCAGAATGTCATATAGTTGGATTTGTACAGTAGGTATCCTTTTCAAATTGGCTTCTTTTGCTGAGCAGTTTTCATTTAAGATTCCTTTGTGTCTATTTATGGCTTGAAAACTTATTTATTTTTATTGCTGAATAATATTCCATTTTACGGATGTACCACAGTTTATCCAGGGGTCTCAAACTTTTTAAACAGGGGGCCAGTTCACTGTCCCTCAGACCGTTGGAGGGCTGGACTATAGTTTAAAAAAAACTATGAACAAATTCCTGTGCACACTGCACATATCTTATTTTGAAGTAAAAAAAAACAGTCAAAAACACCCGCATGTGGCCTGCGGGCCGTAGTTTGAGGACGCCTGATTTAGACCTTCCAGAAACTACTGATGGGGACACCAGACTCCTGATCATGACAGGTGATGAAGTTTTATTCTGTCATGTGTGTAAAGGATTGCTGATATTAAACAGCACTGTTTATATGTCAATGTTATTTAGAAGCGTATGATTCAGAAAATGTGAATTTCTTGTTTAATGTTTCATGGTCTTCAGTTTTATACCTTGTATATGTTGATCTAGAGGTGAAAAATAAGTTTTGTGGAAAGTTTTATTTTTAAGTTTAAAATCATATAGCACATAACTTCTTTTTTTAGTTTTAAAGCTTTTAATAATGTTTTTGTGTTTTAGCCAAAATAGGCATGTTCAAGATTTACCTATAAAGGGTAAGCTGTCTTCTAATAGGACTACTTACATCGTGCTAAATTGAATCATTAAAGAATGCATTTTTAAGCTTTGAAATCCAGTCTGTTTACAGAAATGTTATGTGGATCCCAGTTATAAAAAGCATATGATTCCTGCTTTGAGATCTTTTCACATGTAGGTTATATCAGAGTATTTTTTTGCTTGCTTTCAGTGTGGTTAAACAGCAATAATCTATTCCCCAAGGAATCCTACAATGAGGAAAAGTTTTCTTGGGGAAGGGGTAGTGATTAGTAGTTTATGCAATTAGACAGTTGATGTGCAATTACTCATTTAATAAAGTTTGAGCTTTCTAAAAACTCAGTAGTGTTCTAAAGGTATGTTTTGGTGTGACATGTGGTACGTTTTAATCGAGGTAAACTTTTTCCATATTAAATTATATCATTAATTGATGTTTTCTCTTTGAAGATCCATTTGAAGTTTATAAAGTTTAGTTCACCTTTTAACTCTACAAGTCTTTTCTTAATGTTATACTCTTCTTTCTTCTTCCCAGGGTACAGTTAATAAAGTGTCTTCTAGCCACATTGGCTGTTTAGTGCACGGGTGTTTTAATGCTTCCATTCCTAAACCTGAGCTGTTGTCTGCTGAGCAGTGGCAAACCCTGCAGATAAACTTGGGTGATGAACTAGAGTTTGAAGTATTTCGTTTAGACTCAGATGCTGCTGGAGTATTCTGCATTCGGGGAAAACTAAATATCAACAGGTTAGTTCATGATCATGTAATTATCATTGAATACTTCATTGTTTCTACTTAATTCCGAATTTAGAGAATATAAACTGCTCTTTTAAAAAAATCTATTCATAGCAATATTCATGCCTTCAAGTCATAAAATCAATATTAATAATAATCTTAATCTATAACAATGCATCAAATATATATTCTAAAGCTATATGTCTAGCTAGCTGCTCTGTATTTTAATAATTCAATGTTTCTGAGTATTTTCTAGTTTGTTGTTAATTTTTTTAATTAAAAGCCTCTCTCTGAACTTGAAATTACTGAAAGCACAATTATATTGCTATTAGCCTGCATTTATTATTTAAAACAAAAAACAAAGTTTTGAGTATCTTTATCTGTGCCAGGTAGATATTTTAATTTCTATATTATTCTATATTAAAATTCTTGTAAGAATCGCTCTGATTTTGAGCTTGTTTCCTTGGGAGCCAAGTTTGGGTAGATGGTAATTCTTTGAATACTGCCCATATTAGAAATTTTCTTCTAGATTTTGCCTTAAAGTAACAAGGTTATGGGTTAACATTCTAGAACAGTTGTCAAATAGAACTTTCTGTGATGATACTAATGTAGAAATATACCATATGTGCATAGTTACAGTAGCCTCACCATTGAGCACTTGAAATGTGACTAGTGTGACTGAGGATCTAAGATTTGAAAATTATATCATTGACATTACTTAAATTTAAATAGTTACATGTGCCTACTCATAGTATATAAGACCATACAGTTCTGGAGAGAGAGCTACTTCATCAATTCTTATTTTTATTTTAGTGGTATAAAAATAATTCACAACTTTAAAGTAACACTGCCTCGGTATAGGTTAAGTAAAACAATGGACTACTATTTGAAGCAGGATTTAAATAGCAGACAGGAAACTCCATTACTTTGATACATACCAGAAGCATATTTTCTCTCTCTAAAGTGTTAGTGGTTTGGCTAAGAAGCCTGGGTGTCATGATGTTTAATGTTCAGTGACCAAATTTTCCTGAACCAAACCAAACCAAAATTTAGAAGACATGTTTTGACAAGATTTGTATGCCATTTTTATGTGCAAAAACAGTCTGGGAGAAGTACTTTATAACCAAAGGATTTAACATTTAATGTTAAATTTAACATTGTTGAATTTAATATTCAATAGCCTGTAGATATTTCAGTTGTCTGAAGGATAACAATAGAATATTTGAAATTTATGCCATAGTTACATGTCTTGTACTGCTGTCATTATTTAGAGAATCTTAGCACTTTGGGATATTCTTGATCTAATTTTGTTGTTTGTCTTTATTGCTCTGTTAATTCCTTTAAACTTTAATTTACAGTTTACAATTTAAGAGCTCAGAAGTTTCTGAAGAAGTAGCAGAAACCGGCACTGAAGAAGTTGTTGAAAAGCCTCCAAAGAAGAAAAAGAAAAAGAAGAAAGACCCAGAGACATATGAAGTGGACAGTGTTACCATAAAGCAAGCAAATTTTGCAGATGACACCCCAAAGGAAGAATTAGACCTGCAGATTACTAATAATGTCAATGGCCTCTGTGAGGAAGAGCCAAAGAAGAAGAAGAAGAAGAAGAAAAAGCACCAGGAAGATCAGGACCAGGACCCTGTTTTTCAATGCAGTGACTCCAGTGGTTACCAAAGTGACCATAAAAAGAAAAAAAAGAAAAGAAAACACAATGAGGAGGCTGAATTTACCTCACCGAAAAAGAAAAGGGAAAAGTAATTTTCTTTAGTGTATTGTAAATATGGTTCAGTTTTTAAAAGATTGATTTACACATAATGGATGAGTAAATGTTTTGAATAATATGAAATGCTTATGCATACCGGTATTTTACAAAATAGGAAATACTTGATTAACAGTTGGAGGGTCTGTGTGCTAAATATTATAAAACTGACTATAAATTAATTTGGGGAATACCAAGACCATTAAAGTACCATTTTATTTTATACATAATAAAAAGGTAAGAGCTGCTCTCACTCTTGACCCTTATATTCTCTCAGGTTTTACCCTCTACATAAAATTATTTCTACAATCTCAAGACTAGCAAAAGAACTTTATAATATTATTCATATCATTAAAGAATGAGTTAACTTTGGGTTTTGATATGATTTGATTTGTAATAGGTTTTACCTTTAGTCATTTCCATGCTGTTTTATTTTGCTTTTTTAAAAACTCAGGACATTTACCAGTTTTAGGTTTTTCTTTTATCATGTTAATACAGTATTTCTGTTATTTAATTTGAATGATTAGCCAAAGAAGCTTATGAAGTCTCCAGAGATCTTAACCATGTCACTACTGACTGTGTGGTGGGAAACAATATTTACTATTCTTTCCTCCCAGGTGCATGTGTGTCATTTTCTTTTTTAAGTCCAAGATGCTGATGGAAAGGCTTGCTCTCTTGTACTCATTCATTTATGCCTCAATCGTTCTTATTTGTTGTGTTTTAGAGGAGAGTCTAATGAAGACAGGATAAATGTGATTCTGACTAGTGGGAAATTTCCACATAACTTTTTGATGATTGGAATAGGCTACCAAAAATTGTTCTGAAGGGAAAACAGTTGTGCACTGCTTTCATTGCGAAAATGTGGAATGAGGCTTGACTAATTGGAAAATACTGAGTAATGAAATGACAAGCTAACTGAGGTAGATAATCAATGCATGGCCATATTCATTCATCTAGCAGATATTTGACCATCTGCTTTGTGTATCACATTCTACTAAGGCCCAGGGATATAATAGCAGGCAAGGTAGATGTAGTTCCTTCCTCAGAGCCTGTCATAGGAGAAACAAATGCAGGTGCGTGCGCGTGCACACACACACACACACACAATCTAAGAAAATATAGAAAATTATTAACTGTGTCAGGTGCTGTGAAGAAAAAGGATTATCTACTCCTGTTCCTTGTGTTACTATCTGCATATAGTTGAATGGCTGAATTAAATTCCCTGTGTCAGCCATTTATCTAATACCAGACATAGTGCTGATCTCACAGTTTAATGTTTGATGATGAATAAATTCTGCTAGTGGCATATCATGATCTAAATCTATAATGATAGGATACACAGTTTGCAGAATGGCAGGCATCCATATTTATCTACAAGTAGATGTACCACATTATGGAATGGTTTAGCCCAATGTCTTTCGTTATAATTGAAATTCATGTGAGTATTGAGCCCTTAAAATATGGCTAGTCTGAATTAAGATATGCTATCAATATAAAATGTATTAACATATTTTGAATGTGTACAAAAAAATGTAAACTACCTGAGTTTTTATATTGGTGAAATTATGACATTCTTGGTATAGGGGATTAAATAAAATATAATTGAGTTTTTAGTTTATTTTTCTACCAAAAAAAGGTTAAAAATTGTACATGCTCATGAGGCTTATATTACCTTTCCTTTGAACAGTGCTACATTACAGGAAGTATGAGTTGAAAATAGTTTGAAAGAGTTATATTATCAGGCTTTAACATCATGGCATACCCAGAAAATGTTTAATAAATACTTTCTTCAAATTTTAAAATTTGAATATATATTTGTAATCATGTTTGCCAATATAGGAAATTAATTTTTAGTAAAATAATTCTAACCCTTAATCCATTTGTGTTGCTACAAAGAAATACTTGAGGATGGCTAACTTGTAAAGAAAAGAGGTTTATTTGGCTCACAGTTACGCATGCTGTACAAGAAGCATGGCGCCAGCATCTGCTTCTGGTGAGGGCCCCCATTTATGGTGGATGGTGAAGGGGAGCTAGCATGTGCAGATCACATGACGAGAGAAAGAAGATAGGCCAGACTTTTTTTTTAACAAGTTCTCTTGGGAACTAAGAGTAAGAACTCACTCCCAGGATAATGGCACCAAGCCATTCCTGAGGGATCTGTCCCCACTATCCAAACACCTCCCACTAGGCTCCACCTCCAACATTGGGGATCAAATTTCAACATGAGACTTGGCAGGGCCAAATAAACTATATCGAAACCATAGTATCCCCCCATGACTGTACAGCAAGAAAAATGTTATCAAATTTATGCTATTCATGGAAAAATATATTGTAGCTTAGTAAAATAAGCACACTCCCACATATTTTTATTTTGCTTCAAGTAGTACTTCTGCCAATTGTGTTTTATGAAGGAAAAGGGAGACCGTATCCTAAACTTGAAAACTTGAAACTAGATCTGTTCATGCTTTTTTACAATGTGAATAGCTTTAAAAAGCCAGATCTGGCCATTCATCTTGCCTAGAATATAGTAACTTTAATTTTTTGGTTGTTTTTCTCATGCCAAAAAAACTGATGGTGTCCTTCATATAGTCTTCAAAACATTTGTCACATGTTACACTAACCAGGCCTTTATCTTTTTATGTTGGAATTTGCTTACTAAAACCCTCTAGCCTAGACTGGACCCCTTACGTTCTCTCCAATTCTTATCATTCACCAGCTTTTACACTGTGCATAGATGAAATACATATATCATTAATCACTGGAGATACATGGATGACGAAAGCAATTTCCACTCTTGAGGGCATGCAGTTTTTGTGAGATGTGCAACTAAGTGTAGATGATAAATACAGAAAGTATGAATTGTGTTGTGGAAACGGTCATTAATAGTGCCACTTTGGCAGGCTGAAGCAGCTTGTAATGTTTGAATTGGTTGCATGATGAGCAGAATTTTGAAGGGAAAGAGCTGTGGCCTTCCAGGAGAGCCTACCAGAGGCCTCAGAAGTATCTCATGGAAAAGACCTCAGACACTACCTTCCACATAAAGTTTTCCCAGATGAAAGTAGGCTAAATGTGTTTGCTCCTAATCATAATTATTATTTTTTTCTTTACTAGATAATTTTCTACTTGTACCACTCCGAATTATTGTTTCCAACTGTTCACCTATTTGTAAAGCTTTTCTCTTGATCAAATTTGTTTGACCAAGTAAGTTTCCTGAGGGATGGGATTATGCCTTAAGTATTGTATATTTACAGTATTTAACAGTGTGTCCTTTGTGTAGCAAAACCATTAATAGATAACTTTTAAATTGATAAATGAAAAACACAGTTTTGAATGGTACCACTTTGCCTGTGATACGATATTCTTAACTTTTTCACTTATTGTTTCAATAAATTCATGCATTGCTTTGCCTATACATGATGTGGTTTTCAAATATTTTTGTCCCTTTAATGTGTCAGTGATAACTTAGATGGAAACTTTCCAAATGGCAGAAATTTGGTCTCTTTAACTTGCTTTATATATTCACCACCTGGATCATCTTTGGACATTTATTTCTTCAAAAAGTAGATATTTTGTGTTATAAAATCAGTGTTTATTCTTTAAAAAATTCCAGTAGCAAAAGTATACACATCTTCCCACTCTGCCATTGATCTCGCTTTATATTCCTTCCCCACCACATACACCTACTTGACAATTCTACTTCCCAGAAATAACTACTATTGTCAATTTCATGTGTAGTTTTAGAGGTTTTCTTAAATGAATTTGTGAAAATACTGTATTTTAAAATATAAATGGACTTAAACTACTCATACTCTTTGAACCTATTCTCTTTCATTTGGTATTAAATATTTTTCCATATGAATATATAGAGGTCTTATTTTTAATGTTATTGAATTTCAGTGTATAATTTGTATCATTTTCTAATAAACATTTAGGTAATTTATGTTTTCCCTCTTCACACACATTGGCTATGTGTGTGTATAAATAATTATTTGCCTGATAGAAAGTCCTAGAAATGGAATTGCAGTTTACCTTTTCCATATAGATTATCAGATTGTCTTCCAGAAAAAGTTATACCAATTTATACTCCTACCAATTTACAATCCTATCAGCAATTTTTGGTTGGCAACCTTGCAAACATGGAGAATTACCAACCTAATTTTTGACAATCTGAGAGATGAAAATGGTATATTGTGTAATTTACATTTATTTTATTTATTAGTAAGCTTGAACCACTTGTATTTTTATTGTCCGTGCATTTATTATCTTGAGAATTTCTTTTCATGTCTTTGATCATTCTTTTGGATAATTTTTTCCATTTTTAAGAGTTTTCTACATATTAAGAATGAGTTTTCTCTATTCATGTTTAAACAATTTTCATAATATATCTCATATATTTTAACTTTATCATTTGCTGTTCAGAAATGTTTTTTATATAATCAATAATCTCTTGTCTGAATTTTATCTTAGTTATAAAGTTATTTCCCATCCCAAGATTATAAGATACTCTTACATATTTTCTTCCAGTACTTTTATCATTTTACTTTTTACATTTAAAACTTTGTCTGAAATTGGAATATGGTTTGATGTAGAAATTTTTTCTAAAATGATGTCTCTGTGTCCCCAAACTATGTATTAGTCCATATTTTCTCTATTGATTTGAAGAGTTATGTTAGCTTACACTGCACATACTATAAAATGGTCCTATTTCTCTTCTCTTGATACACTTATGTATTCTGACAAAGCAACACGCTGTTTATCATTCTAATGTGGTAACAGGAATTTTTCAATGGCCCCTTAGCTTCCCCTCTTAGTCCTCCCTGATGATGAATTTCACCTTGACGATTAGATTATGTTATATAGCACAATTGGCTTAAAGAAAAGGAGATGATCTGGATGAGCCTATCCTAATCACATGGCCCTTTAAAGTCACAGAGATTTCTTCAGCTGGTGGCAGAAGAGGAAATGAGAAAGATTTGAAACATGAGAAGAATTTGGTGGAAGGCAGTCTCCCTTACTGAAGATGGAGGGGCCATGTGGCAAGAGTCCGAGGAGCTGAATGCTACCCCTGGCCCACAGCCAACAGGAAAACAGGGACCTCAGTACTACATCCACAAGGGACTGAGATCTGCCAATGACAAGAATGAGCCTGGAAGCAGATTTTTCCCCAGATCCTGCTGATGAGAATTCAGCTGGATAACACCTTGATTTCAGTCTAGTAAAATCTTGAAAACCCACTGACACCTTCTCAAGACTTCTGACTGATAGAACCGTGGACTCCTGAGAGGTGTTGTTTTAAGCCACTAAGTTTGTGATAATTTGTCAAATAGCTATAGAAAACTAATATACATAGCTTTGTGATACATTTTGGTATCTAGGGAAAGTATCCTTTATTATTCATTTTCAAAGCTGTGTTGGTTCATCTCTTGCATACAGTCTTCAGGATATCCTTAAAAATAAATTTTGTCAAACTAGAAAAAGAAACCTTGGAGGCTTTGATTGGAATTGCCCTTAATTAAGAGATTGAGGGACAATTGAGTTCTGTAGAATACTTAATTTTCCTAGCCAATAAACGTGTTAACGTCTCTATTCATTCAAGTCTATTGCATCCTTCAGTAGCACTAAATTTTTGTCTATTAAGGCCTTTCATATATCTTAAGTTTATTCCAGGAATTTTATAACCTTTCTTGCTTTTGTTTATGGGACTTTTTAACATTACATTTTCTAATTAGTTCTTGTTGACATAAGAAAGTATTTGATTTCATATACTAACCTATCTGGCCAAACATACTAAAAGTCTGTGTATTTTATTGGTTTTATTTACCAGTTTTTGTTTTGTTCATTAATTCTTACTCTTTACTAAATCCTATATTTTTGTTTATTTTTCCCCCTTAGCTTCTTAATTTAAATTCTTAGTTCCCATTTAATGTCAAGCTTTCTCCTTTACTAATTAAAGCTTTTGACCCTAAAATCTTCCTCTTTGGTTTCGATCTTATATGTATTATCTAGCTTTTGATATGTAGTGTTTTCATTTTTTTTTTCACGTCTTATAGATACTCTGAAATTTTGCCTTTGAGTTTGTCCTTTTTTTTTGTTGGCCAAAGAATTATTGAAAAGAATATTGTTAAAATTTCTAAGAGCCTTCCTGGTTATTTCAATTACTGTCTTTTAGTTGTTCATTTCTAGCTGTATTATATATTATGGACTGATAACCTCTGATTTTTACTTTTACAAATTGATATATGGGGGGGGCAGTACATATTTTTAAAAAATATTCTTTAGTCACTTGAGAAGAATATCTTTTTGTAAATATACAAAGCACAGTTTTAAACATATATTTTATATAACATACAGTGAGAACAAAATTGAAAAGTAATGGATAATTCTGCACATGATGTGACTATTTGTGGCATTTCTCCTGGGCAATTCATGGAAAGTTTAATAAATGTTGAACTCAGTGAACATTTGCTTTCCTTACTAAAAACAAAGATGTTCAGATGTTTGGTCTAAACTACTTTCTCTTCCAAACCTCTGCCTTTGCAATAGTAAATAACTTTATGGTATTGTTTTGTCTTCTACTTCTTTCAGATAAATATCTGGTGCACTGGATCATCTTACAGTCCAGTGGCCTTTTCTAAGACATTCGAATACTAACCTCCTGTTCCCACTCTTTTCTTGTCTAGTTGATAACTTATCCTGAAAGTATTTGAAAGTTTTTATTTAATAAGGCAAAAACTTAGAAAGTTATAAAATTGGAATAATTAAGAATAAAAGCAGAATCAACAAACATAAATCTGCAACTAGGATTTCAACAGCAAATAAACTGCAGTCTGTATAGTTGTAAGTAATTAGTTCCATATTCATTGGATATAATTAAAAAATGCTCTGGTACTTATTGACTCAAAGAAAACCCACAACAAATAAAATACCTTGCCAATTCTTGTCTTAGTAAACAGCTAAGAATAGAAGTTAAAAGGGCCATCAAAGAAAGCCATAATTTAGAATTTAAAAGCAGAATGTATTAGTAACTAAAATGACCTAGAAATTGATGAGATTATGAGCAATAGAGGAAATATGTAAATGTGTCTAATACATGAAATAATTTCCTGTAAATTCTGTATCCCACAACATTTTGTTACAGTTTAATGTCTTTCAAATTTAGTTATCAATAGGCCAATCACCAGTTAAAGAAGATTCTTATAAACATCAAAAAAACAACATATTTTGTGTGTAATTATACATGTGTGCAAGGGAGCCTGAAAGAATACTAACTCTCCAAAAGTAATGATTAAACAAAAATATTTCAATGCCCAGTGTTTTAAGGTATTCACACTCAATTTGTTATTATTTTTAAACTTTACATCTTAAATGAGAGTGGTTTATCTGCATAGAGTGGAGTTACTTTGAAAAATTTTACTTACCTCTCTAGGATGTGTTCCTTCACTTGTACAATGAGAACATTGAATTGCAAACTAGATGATCTATGATAAAATTTCATTTCGGTTATAAAAATTCTGAGTCATTGATACTGCTGTCTATTATAGGTAATATATTATATGCTTGGGATCTCATTTCACTTATTTTGCATCTATTAAGAACTATGAAGAGTCTGAGATTTTACCCCAGTCTGCCACCGCTTCATGGATGCTAGCATAAAATGGAAGACTCCCAGGTCAGAGACAAAGGACTGTTACCACTCACTGCACATCAAGTAGCCTGAGCTTCACATTTGTGCCAGTTCCCTTTGGCCTCCAAGTCCCATAGGAACAATGAGAAGGGCCCCAGGTAACTTATGTGCATAAAGTGAGTTTGCATCACTTCTGAGAAACTCCATGCTAGGGAACCCCACTTATTTATAATGGACTGCAACTAAATCGCCCCAACCTTTGCCTCAGAGGGAGATACCATCTTTATTACACTCAACAGTAAACAAACCTGGTGTGTTGGCCTCTGCTATAGAGGAAGAAACTATTTTTTTATTTTCCAAAGCTTTACCTATGCAAACATCCTTGACAAGTTAACTTGGAACAAAAGTTGTGTTTGCAAGATTTGCAGAAATGCGAAAGACTGAGGAATACTGTCTCCCAACATCACCTCATCCCAAAAGATAAGATCAGTTGACATCCTCTGAATAATTCATATATATATTAAATATCACTACAGATTGTTATAATTTATGTAAATGTACATAATATATTCAAATTCAATTACAGAACCCATTATTTCAACTTTAGTAGCCAATGCTTTTATATTTTGGGGGTTTATTAAGAAAAATTATCAAGTTGCCTATGTAGTTTTTTATTTTAAAAATATGTGTTCACTGTAAAATAGACTAGTGATATCTTACTAGACTACACATATACATACATTTGTGTATATATACACTCACACATACTAGCGGATGTCTGCTACTAT